GTGCCCAAAATGTAATTAAATTATAAAGGAAAAATGAGGCTGGAAAACAGACTGCTTAAATTGATATTGTAGATTACAAAAGCATACATTAACCAGTTGACATCCGCGGTGTTAAACCCCCTTCCCATCGAGGCCATTTTTCAGTATTTAGCGCTGCGGTACGGGGACAAAGAAAAAACGAGCACATATAGACGATCGACAGGCTATAGAGCCGCCGATCGTCGATATGTGAAACACCCGGTAACGGGTGTTTGCATTGGTCGGGTCTTGAGACGGCAACCCGCCAATGCTGCAGTGCCGTCCGTCCGTTTTTTTACAACGGGCGGACGGCAACTCGTTAAAAAAAATCAGAAACGTAGAAGTAACAAACAAGGATATACGATAAATTATAGGCCATATTAGTGGTGCACCGAGTACAACAGTAGGTAGGGAGATGCGAGGTAAGTGGGTGGCACCACACCCCTATAACTGATAAAGACAAGCAAGCATGGGCTGCAATTGAGCAGGGTTTTTTTTCAAGGTGCCAAAAAATACATACAGCTACAGGTGTAAAGTATAAATATAAAACCTTCTTTATTTCTTATAACAAGGTAAAAAAAAATATTAAGACACATATAAAGGCCATATCAAATAAATAATCTACCACATAAGGCAATGTTATACTGACTGATGTAGTCCCATTAACTGACAACAGACTGCAAATGCAAGACACTAGTCCCAATAGACCCGTGTCTCTAACCAACTGGCCAGTGGTATTTCTTCGGCTAGCCAATGATGGGGCCCAAGGTGCAATTGGTGAAGTAATCTGACAAACAGTAGTGCAGTGGCTAGCGGCCTCTCACCCTTCCTGTAGTGGAGATGGCGGCTTCTGGGTTGGTCAGTGAGAAGGGACAGCCCTCACCTTCTCCACTTTCTGGTTCTTCGCAGCGGTTTCAGATTAGATGCACCACTAGTAATGATCCTGGATGTCAGTGACTCTGGGCTCTGGCAGCAGCTGAAATCTCCACCATGGCGCCTGTTCATTCTCACAGGGCCGCAGGTCGCTTTCTCCACACAAATCGAGCAGTACCCAAGGTCGCAATGTAAAGCAATTGTTCTCTAGCCAGGGAATATGTAGTGTCTTCTCCTCTATAGCAGTTGTCACACAAGAGATTCACAAGCAATAGCGTTGCTACAGTCTCTCAATGACAGGGTTAACAGGTCTCTCTGAAACATCTGCTAGCTTGCCACATGCTGGAATGCCTGGGCTCTTCTATGCACACCCAGTTCATTATCTTCTCTTCTCCACAGCTCACTGGGAATTGTAGTTTAAGTCACTCCATTCTGTGCATTCCTTCCTCAGCTGTGGACTTCAATTCCCATACGTTTCTGCTGCAGGGATCCCAGGCAGCAGCAACAATGAATTCTTAAAGGAGAGAATTCTGTACCTGGGCTACACTCTCCCCCTACTGAAATGCTTGTGTCCACACAAAGTGGACATTTGTACTCACAAATGTCATCACAAGAGATTTACAATACTGTCAGAAAGCCAGAGCCAGAGTTGGAGCCAGAATTCTTTCACGGCAGTTTGCGCATGCGCATAGTGCAGCTAATAGAGTTGTATCACGTGCAGCGTCTCTGCGTAAACGTGCGCGTTGTGCGCGTGTTCGTGCGCACGGGCCCGCGCCGACATGTTGTTTGAGTTTCTGGCGCCCTCTGGGCTATATAGGGCTGTGGCTAACAAACCTCCTTTGCTATCACATTGTCAGCTTCCCTGTGTCCCTGTATCCTGTTCCTGAATTGCTTCTGTTTCTAACTCGGCTTGGCTTGACTCTTCTGCTTCTCTCCAGTGATTGACCCTTGGCTTGTTCTTGACGATTCTCCTGCTTACCCCCTGTACTGTGTTGCCTGCACGTTGATGACCTCGGCCTGTCCTGACTACTCTGCAATCCTTGCCTGCTGGACTTACAACTCTCTCTGTTACTCCTGCTCATCGGTTGCAGCTACTACTGGCACTCCTGTCCCTCTGTGCCCCTGTGCCCGTGTATCCATCCAGGTGCCCCAGGACCAGAGAAGTGAGAAGGGCCGCCCTCAACATCTAAGATTCTCCTAAGGTACGTGACAAATACATTTATATACAAAGGGATTACATCAAACATCCACCATTATATCTTTACTGCTAGCAGACAAACTAAGCTTTTGACATATACTGGCAACTTCAACAGCTTCACTTGCTATTGTACAGTGGTACAGGAACACAGGGAAAAGACTTACAGCACTGCTGAGCAGAAAACACATTTCAGGCTGAGGCACATGTAGAAGCAGGTAGATGGAAAAGAGCAGACACATGAGAACTGGAGTGTGGGAACTCTAAGGGTCCATTCACACCACATGCATTGGGGCTGCGCTGGCCATTGTTTCCAGTACAGCCCCAACTCAAGACAAGGCAATTTGCCTTGCCTGGAATGGGCACAATTCAAACCACCACGTTGCAGTGGGGTGGTGTGCACTGAAAAAAAGTACAGTATGCCTTACTCATACTTTTTTGCAGTGCAGCAGGATGTAACGTGGAACAACTACCTTGCACCCTGCTGTGCCCATATAATTGAATTCAATAAAGTTATTTTTAAAAAAAGTACACAGTGCGATGTGCCAGGATCGGTGCATAAACACTTTGTCAGGCACCGCACACTAGCCACTGTGCATTTTGCACAGAAGCAGGTGTGAATGGACCCTTAAGCAGTGCAACAATGCAGGCAGTTCAGACAAACTCACAGCACACAAGTGAATGCAATGGTGAGTCTCAAGCAATATCCACCGGAACACACTGGGAACTCTGAGGATAGCAGGAACACTGAAAACAACAGCGCAGGAAACACAGAGAATTACACCCAACATACAGAACTACTGCTCCTATGCAGTGTCCATGCTGTACATACAAAATAAGAATATATGTTGAGTGCTGTCTATATACCGCTCTGTATAATACTTTACTTCCTAGTGAACAGTGTGTAATAATAACTAACTCCTTCCAAGTGTATACTGGTAGCCCACATTATTTATACAGAGGCACCAGAGAGCAGTGATTAGTGCCATGTAAATTGTAATCTACACAGACTGGGATAATTTGTATAAAGAAGATGTACGCCAATCTGTATCTTGTATTTATTTGTTCCTTTTTATGTAATCCCATATGTATTATAAAATAAGACTACAGGAAGTAAAATGGCTTTTTGGTTTTCCCCCTAGTTCCAGATTAAATTAAAGATGTGTAAAATAATGTGTCACAATAATAAACTAGAATTCTAAGTAGTAGAAGTGGGTATAGGTAACAGTATGTGTGCATGTGAGTGTAAAACTTTACTTTAAGATGGCAATACAGAAAATTGTAACTTTTCCCCCCAAGACTTTAAAATTATGGTCATGAGATTCCACCACAATGCTGGTATGAGTAGCAGCAAGTACAGGCAGTTATAAATACACAACTTACCTGCACATGCAGAGCATCCTATTATTTACTTTAGCCAACAGCAGTTAGAAACCACTAGTCACAATTTGTAAAATTTCAGGTTGCAATAAAATGACAATGGTACCCCGGAGCAGCAAAATGGCATCTAAAATGAATCATGTGCAGGAGTTGAAAAAGCTATCTATCCGGTCTATAATAACATGGCGACGCTACCGCTCCTGACGCTCATAGGCTTAGGTAGAATAGTGGCAGTAACCCGCACATGCGTAGTATCAAGGGAATTATTACATTGATTTGCTACTGTGCCCTATGCGGCTTAATGTGGCCATTTTGGCTTAGACTAAAGACGCGTTGCCATGTTATTGCAGAACTCGCATGCATGCACTACTGTTTTCAACTGCACTGCAAAGCATATAGGTGTTGCGGTACTGTGCGTTGCAGCATGGCTGAGTGTATTGCGGCAGAGAGGTGCATTTGGGGTGCCATTCAAATTAATGTCAATGCAACGCACCTGAGGAACTGTAATGCACAGTGGGTGCACTGCACTGTATTGTGCCTTAATCGCTTGGAACCGTGTGATTAACACACGGCATTAGTGTGAACAGGCCCTAAGTGTTAACTGAAGCTAAGAAAAATCAGGTCTCCTGCCCAAAAACTACACATTCTGTGGCAGGAAAAGCAGCCCCATATATGTATTACATCTGTGTGTTTAGTTGTGTGCCTTGAGTCTCGGCTTCAACAATCCTTATTGGTATCAAATGCTTTGCCAAATCTCAGTAGATTACATCTATTAACTTACCATGATCAAGTGCCAGTTACAACCTAACAAAACAATGTAATTAGGAAGGCCTTGCTGGTTCCTAATGAAAATATGTTGCCAATTTGGTAAATTTATTTTCAGCAATTTGTTTATATATTACTGTACATAGAGTTCCTACAAATATTTCACTACCACATACCAAATGTAACTGGTGGTGTTATGGTTATTTGTAAAGCCCTCCTTCTATGTAAAGCCCTCCTTTTAATACTCAATTTTCTTTGTAATAAAAAACAGTATTTAAAAAGGTAAAAAAGTATACAAAAAAAGGAATTATTAAATGACAAACATAATTTAAGCCATTTATTTATTTTATTTTTGTGTAAGTCAATGCTGATACAAAGAGAGTCCTAACCATCCCACCAAATTATAAAAATAGTACTTAGATCACAAATATAGGAAGATCACTATTTTTAGAATTTTGATCATGATGGTTCTATTTTTTACAGTGTAGTGTATACATTTGATCAGTGTAGTGTATACATTTGATCAGTTTTATATTTACATTTTTACAATTCCTTGAAATATTTTTTTCTTTTTTTGTGGCTTGCTTTTTTGTGTTGAGCAACTATATGCCTTTTTTGTACTTGATGTTGTTATGCTCATTACATGAAAATCTAGCTTTGTGGGTTAAACTAGTTATCTGTAACCAAACACCAATGATGGTCACATCCTCCTCCCAGGTAGGTGTAGTCTCAGTCTTGTACTTTGTGCTGTAGGAAGCAGTAACAAAGTGAGTGAGTTCTCCGTCATGGAGCTGAGCACTGCACTGTTGCTGGGCCTCGTCCTTTTAGCTTTGTTATGGAGGAAATTCTCTCGACCAAAAGGCTTCCCTCCCGGGCCCCTAGCACTGCCTGTACTGGGTAACATACTGCAAATGGACTTTGCCAATCCTTTAAAGGACCTGAGGAAGGTGAGTTTAAGTATAATAAAAACACTGAAGTATAAATAAATATATATATATATATATGTGTGTGTGTATATATATATATATATATATATATATATATATATACAGTGGCAGAACTACCGCCATAGCGTTCCATGCAGCTGCTATGGGGCCCGGTCAGGAGCAGGGCTTATAGTCCTCCCAGGCTGACCGGGGCCGTGCCAGGTTGGGAAAGGCAGGTAGGAGAGGGGGGAGAGCCCCTACAGGTCCCAGCATGAAATCTCCTGACAGGAACTACAAATCCCAGTGTGAACCACACATCCCATTTCTGTCCTCTCCTGACAGGGCTACACATCCCGGCGTGAACAACACATCCCAGCATGCCCCCTCCTGACAGGGCTACACATCCCGGCGTGAACAACACATTCCAGCATGCCCTCTCCTAACAGGGACTACACATCCCAGCATGAACCACACATCTCAGCATGCCCTCTCCTGACAGGGACTACACACCACAGCATGAACCACACATCCCTGCTGACAAAGACTACATATCCCATCCAGACTACACATCCTAGCATAGACCACACATCCCAGCATGTCCTCTGCTGACATGGACTACACATACATCCCATCATGGACCACACATCACAGCATGGACTACACATCCCAGCATGTCCTCTGCTGACAGGGACTACATGGAATAACTTTTTTTGGTGGGGTAGATTGCGGAGGGGGCGGTTTGGGGGGCCCCATACAAAATTTTGCTATGGGCCCTATGATTTCTAGTTACGCCCCTGATAGATAGATAGAATTTTTTACAACCCTTGGTTAAGCTGTGCTGTGTCATGCTGCACAGGTCAGTTGGTGACACTGACACATATATGGATTTGTATAGTAATTTTGGTCACTTCCCAGATTGTGCTGTGAACACACGGTGGTTGATTTACTAAAGTCATAGAGACTGATCACTTTTCAAAGTGAACTTTCACTAAGCTTAATAAATAGTCACATATAAAATATTATGAATACTGCAACATGACTCAAAATATGTGCTCACTAAAAATAAATCGAGGAGAAATTATTAAAAGTGGAGCTGAGAGGATCTGGAACAGATGTCCATGGTAACCAATCAGTTTCTGTCTTTCGTTTTCTTTTACATTATGTTTTTGAATTTTCAAGAATCCAAAAAAATTAGATAGAAAAGAACAAAACAAATGCCACACAAGAAAGAATCAGTGTAGACCAGTGATCATAAGAAGAAGGGAACAGTGTATGGTAATGTAAAAGCCCCAATATGCATCTATGAGGCTAGAAAACAGGAGTGTGCCTGGGCACTATAATCTGGTGTAAGTACTTTGCTGCTTCTAGCCATGAATGATAGGTACACTTTGTATTGACTGCATTGCACACAATCTGTCATTTGCATTTTTCTCTTAGTTCTCCGAGGTGTACGGCCCAGTGTACAGCATCTACCTGGGATTTACCCCGGCTGTGGTCATCCAAGGGTTGAAAGAGCTCAAAGAGGTTCTGGTGAACAAGGGAGTGGATTTTGCAGACAGACCTCATAATAGAATAATAGAAGCCATCTCTGGTAATAGAGGTAATGTGTTTATATTCTTTAATGTCAGTGAATATTTTGATTAGATTACTGACCAGTTTGGTCACACAAATGACACAAAACTGACTTTATAAGTCAGCAGTTACATTCATTAAAAAGATGATAAAGTTGCATACAAAAGAATGCAAATTACAATTTAATCCAGATAGTGCTTAATTTTAAAAATCATAAAATGTATTTTACATATAACCAGCATGCAACATGTCCTCATATCCCATGCATAGCAGAACTCCAGTAAGAGATCTATTGCCTTGCAAAGTGTTGTCACTCAACACTATACACATAGAGAGAGAGAGAGAGAGAGAGAGAGAGAGAGAGGGGTTTCTTTTTGTACATTGTTCGAGTTTGTACATTGGAGCTATAAACCAATTATAAACATCAGATAAGAATGAGAAGTGAGTCAGAACGGACAGTAAGTATGGAATTTGTCCTAAAAACAGTGATGCCAGTTCACATTGCCAATTCACTCATGTGAACTGGGCAAGTGACCCCTCACCCCCACGCGCACCCTCAGACGGCTCCTTCAAAAAAATTTTTGAAAAGGTTAGAAAAAAAACATTTTCGGTTTTGGCCTGACATTTTATTTCATTTCGGGGTTTTTTGTTTTACTTTTTTATCACATTTTTTTATTTTAATATTTTTACTTACATTTTTATAATTTTTTATGTTATTTTTTATTTGTTATAATTTTTTCGTATTATTTGTTACTTTTTTATTTTTTAATCTTACTATCTTTTACTTTTTATCATTTTAATTATTATTTTTTCATAATTTGTATTTATTTTATAATGTTTTATCAATTTTTATATTTTTTTAAATCTAATTTTGTATTTTTTTTCACTCAACTTTATTGCTATCACACTAGCACACAGGAGCTAACAAATCCCTGTGTGATAGCATTTGGAGGTGACATGTTCTCTTTACTGAACCTGTCACCTCCAATACAGGAGTTCCAGCACAGCACTGTGCTGGAACTACTGTGACAGCTGAGAGGAAGGGATGCGAGTGCACCTCTCCCCACTCTCTCCTCCTAGCCGTTCTGAAGCTGCAGCCGGGAGGAGAGAGAAGGAGCGCAAAAAGGTGTGATCAGCGCCGCAGCGGGAGGGGTCCCAGTCCGCATCTTTACGCCCCCCCCACTGGCGCCCTCAGGCAGCTGTTTGACCTGCCTGTAGGGTAGCGCCGGCTCTGCAGGGCAGTGATGTTACTGCTACAGATGTTCCACTGGCCTGAGATTATAACCCTATAACCCTTAGCAGTGTTCAAAAAAAGTTACTGGAGAGAGAATGGGCTTCCTCTTGGGAAGTCTCATTGTGCACTCTGGTACATAAGATCCCTCTTTACCTGTTTGCTAACATATCAAGAAATCTGAACATTCACCTACTCTAGGGAACATGTAATGGACTCCACATTGCTGAATCACTGGTGGATCATATTTTCTATTACTTCCTCATCAATACAAGCTGTACTTTTGACTACTGGACTATACTAAATTACACCATTCTAACCATTCAGCTTGTTCCAGGTCTGGTGGTTGCACGCTATGGACGAGCATGGAAAGAACACAGACGCTTTACCCTGTCCACACTGCGAGACTTTGGTTTGGGCAAAAAGTCCATGGAGGAGAGAATTCACGAAGAGTGTGTATACCTAATTGAAGAATTTAGGAAGAATCAAGGTGAGATTGCATGGCACTGGCATTACTATTTATAATTCTTATTCTGATTCTTGATTGTGGTGTAATTGTGTGTAGGTTTTGTTAATAATGACTGAAATTAAATAATATTGATAAGCCGCTTTAGGTGGATTTCTTACACAAGATCACAGTGTTGTAGAGCAGAGAGGAGGCCAAAGTGTCCCAGGTTGCTAAGAGCTCTTAGCAACCTGTTGCTCTGTTCTCTGTGTCTGGTTTCCCTGCCCAGCTCGCAGACATCATCGGTTGCCAGGGAGCAACCACTTAATGACATCACGCGCACTTCACTGCTGGCACCGATCTTGGTGATCGACGCCGGCAAAGAGATGAGGGGACGTTCATCTGGTGGGATAAGGTATGCTACCGGGTTCCCTCCTCTCTCGTTAGCTGTTAGGCACTCGGTCCATGACCGACTACCTGACTTGTCAGAGAGGGGGTGACGCTAAAATGAATGCTAGTCTGATGGTGTTACCCAGTGCGAGCTGCACCCCCCACACCCTCTTGTGATGCCACTATGTACAAGTTTATTAAATATAATCATATCTGAAAGCAACAGTTTTAATCATAATTTATAAGTGTTCTGCAACATTACATGTAGGTCTACAGTAGTGATTGTATGACAAAATAGGAAATTCAAAATACATAAGTATTCATTTACATGTTGTTTATACTTATCTGACCCCATAACAACCATTCATAATTTGGAGTTGAGTTTCAGAGTTGGTGATGAGTAACCACTGCTTTTATTTCCAGATTCACTGGTTGACCCCCATTTTGTTGTTGACAATGCTGTATCCAATATAATCTGTTCCATTGTGTTTGGGAGACGTTATGACTATGATGATGCCACTTTCCGAGATATTCTTAATATGGTCCATGAAAACATGAAGATGGCCACTGGATTTTGGGCACAGGTAGGTCCATCTCTGGCTGTTCATTCATAAAGCAGTGCAAAAACCAATAAATCCTGACCAATTAAATGATAGTTTGCTAAAGTCAGATCAGATCAGCATACTGCTGCTGTCATTATTCAACTCGTCGCCACTGGCGGTTAGTTGCTAGGACCGCCTTATGTCCTAACAAACAACCACATGCAGCCAAAAGGTTGAATAATGACAGCAAACGGCAGCTGTCATTATTCAACCCTGCTGCTGCTGAAGGTTGCTAGATGCTAGGACTACCTGGTGTCCTAGCAGCTAACCAATGACTGCTGCCTCCCCAGTCCCCTCCTTTCCCAGTATTCCTATTCCTAAGTGAAGCTGCTGCCTGCCTGTCTCAGTCAGCACCCCCAGGCCCAAGTAAGTTTGTGAACAAATAAGGTGGAACCTCAGATAATGGAAAAAGGGGAAACCCCACACTATGAAATAAGGGGGAACTCTGGTTGTCTGATGTAAGGGGGGAGGGGGCTCTGAGTCCCCAGAGTCTCCCTTTACATCAGAGTCCCTACTTACATCAGTGTTTCCTCTAACATCAGAGCCCCCCCCCCCCCCAAC